GCCCCCCTCGGCAGGCCCGCTCTCAATCCCTTCAGCCTCCAGCCTGTATTGATACTGAGGGTTGCCCCGACCCAGTTGCAGGACCCTGCACTTGGCCTTGTTGAACCTCATGAGGTTCACACAGGCCCACCTCTCCAGCCTGTCCAGGTCTCTTTGGATGACATCACATCCTTCTGGCGTGTCAACTGCACCGCTCAGCTTGGTGTCATCTGCAAACTTGCTGAGGTTGCACTCGATCTTGCTGTCTAAGTCATTGATGAAAACATTAAACACCACCAGTCCCAGTACAGACCCCTGAGGGACACCACTTGTCACCTGTCTCCATTTGAACATCAAGCTGTTGACCACTACTCTCTGGATGTGACCATCCAACCAGACCATCCAACCAATCCCTTATCCTCTGAACAGTCCACCCATCAAATTCATATCTCCCCAATTTAGAGAGAAGGATGTTGTGGGGGATTGTGTCGAAGGCTTTACAGAAGTCCAGACAGATGACATCTGTTGGTTAACACTTAAACTGCAAGCACTCCTCTTTGTCCAATAGACCAATGTAAGGACATCTGCAATTTGGACATTTCCCATTTACCTTGCTTTTGGGAAACTGACGGTCACCTGCCAGGCACTTAGATTTCAATCCAGCCAAAAAGTTCTTAAGATTCTTCAGTCTGATTTCCCCCTTCTGGCATTATCAAGGACTGCTCTTGGCTTCTGCATGATACCAAATGCTGTCAGACCACAGTCAAATGATTCTTACTGCCTCAGGAAAAAAACATGAATCATCTTGGGGTGTCAGGTAGCTGAATGGATCAAGCTTAAAAAGTTTGAGCCATTCTAGGAGGCCAGGCCTTTGAAAACACATTAAAAAAAAATTAATGTAATTTGAAGGTAAGTTTGTATGTGAGCAGGTAAGAATTGTTATCAATCATCGTTATTATCGTAAATGTTTCTAACTGGCTTTGAGCAGAGAATGTGCCCAGGGTAGTTACCTTGTGACTGTTAATTTTGACAATGTCCCAGTGCAAGTGCTGGCCCAGGATTCCTGCCCTGCTCTGGCCGCCTACAGAACTCCTCCTGAAGGCACCAGATCTGCCCTCCTTATCAGAGTCTCCTATCGGACGTACCCTGAAACATTGGGCAGCCTGTTTGGAGTCAACTCTTCTCCAAATAAAGGTGGGTAGTTACACATCATTGTGTTTCAGAAGTCTTGACTTCTAGATATTTTGGGGTGGGGTTTTTTTTGGTTTTGATTATTATTTTCAGGAACCTGTTAATGCAGTGTCTTGGGAGCGTCCGTTGTAAGTAGTGGTGATAGTGGTTGGTGCAGGACCCCGACAGGGCAGCTCACGACTGACAGCTGCTGGTGAACAAGGGGAGGTGCCTGGAGACCTCCCCAAACTGCAGGCAAGCTTTGACAGAGGGAAAGCATGAACTGGCAGAAGACCAGCAGAAGAACTGACTTGACTAGGCCAGGTACCCTTTTGATTTTAGTGAGGTGCCAGTTTGTGGCTCTCTTGTTTTTACACAGGCCAGTTCTGAGGCCTGGGTGAATTGGGGGCAGTTCTGTGAATCAGAACTGTGTTGAGTGCACCTTTATGGAGGGAGTACCCTAAAAAAATCCCACAGTTAGAAGACAGATAAAGCTAAAGAAAGGCAAGGAAAATAATAGGAGGGACTCTTCTCAGGCTTGCTTTTCTTGGGAGACTGAGATAATGCAGAACAGTTTTAAGGGTGATTAAGGGGCTAGATATGACTTCAGGATACAAACCTCAAGGGCATCTGCAGTTTGGAACTAAGCAGCAAGTAGTAGTGATCAGCTGGAAGGAATAATTGCAATCCTAATAACTGCTTAGAGGAGTAACTGTAATCTCCAATTACATGCAGAGCAATCACCCAACAGTTGTCATGGCCTATAAGTTGTCAAAGATCTGGAAATCCAGCTGGATTCTTTCTTTCTCCTAAAGTAAGGGAAGATGGAGCTTAGAGTAGCAACTGTGAACAGTGAATCCAAACAGAAAACCCATATGTGGGAGCTGCTGCTCTCTTGGCTGTATATCTCCTTCCCTTGATAGCATCACTAAACGTTTGCAGAGGCTGTACAAACTCTTCCATCACTTCCCTTTGATAATCATCTAATATGCTAACAGCCAGCATGTTTCCATTTGGAAGGAAGAGCCTCCAGGAATGGGAGATACGAAACAGCAGAGCTGGCCCCTGCTGACACTTTGTCTTCCTCCCACATACCTGGCTCATCAAGGAAAGCCCAGGGAGGGTATTTTTAAATCTAGGGGTTGTAGTCCTACATGTTGGATGTAGCATAATAAAGTCCAGGCTACCTAGTGGAATTATCTAGGAGTTGTCTATACCAGACTTCTTCCACTGCAGCTTATTATTCCTTCCTCCCTTGTTTCCATCTCTTCTGTCAATAGATCTGTTAAGCTTCTCGCCCATCCTCGAATCACGGTCCCCAACCTGTTGCTAGGGCTCCAGACTCCCTTTTCATTTACATTTTAAGTAGCTGGGAGAAGCGCTTGGCTTCTTACTATGCTGGCATCAAGAGTCGCTACTTTCACCCTAAGTAATTCCAGTTTTGCTTCAGTGAGAAATGGGATTCTCTGCTTTGTTTGCCAGCTTTTGGTTAGGCTTATGTAGGGTGGTTCTCACGCTGTCCCATCAGTCCCTGGCCTGCTGTAGAGATGAACCCCCACCCTTTCTCACCTACTTCCCACAAACCCCACACTCTCAAATTTCTCAGGTACTGGGAGCAGGGGGGGAAATTTCTTTCTAATCCTTCAACATGAGCAGTGAAATGATCAAAAGTTCTTGCAGTTGTCTATTAGCAGCTTATCTTTGTCCCCAAAGAAAAAGCCCAAGATCCCCCCCCAAACCCAAATGAAAGAAATTCAAAGGAGGTAAAATCTTGAATAGCACCAGAAATAGCATATGGATTCTCTAGGGTGTGTATGGGAAGTCCCACAGCAAGAATTCCTGAGTGTTATCTGTTTAAATACCTTTAAACACATTTAAAGCCTGTCTCTCAAGGAGCCACTGGATGGCAAGCACTCTGCTGGGTACCTATGTGCATGATCGCCTTTAAAAAACAAAAAACTTTGTAGTAGTTTGTGATCCGAGCTGCACAGAAGACTGACACTTGTGAGAGCGGCAAGGATTCATTTCATTGTGTCTGAACTCCTGATCTGGCCCGACTCAAGCTGAGGACACCACACTCCCGGCCTGCATAGTCTCCCCAGTCCATTACCGAACTAGTTTGAAATGTAATGGGAAGGAGGTGGAGAGCCAAGGAAATGTTTAACCTGATTATGCTCATCAGTAGCAGTAATCTATTCACACAGAAGCACCCCAAGTGCTAGCGATGTGCTATTTTTTTAAGGCTGTCCTGCTTGCAACTTATTAAATGCTGTACGTTATTTATAAGCACCATTTGCAATAAATTCCACAGGCAGTGATGGACATTTAACTTTTTAATAACTTGCAAAAGCGTTTGTGGTACAGTGAACCTATCTGTAGCTTCCCCATGCGTGTCCTTCAGTTTAATAGCTTATGGACCTAAAATTACCTTGGATTTTTCCTTCCAGCAGAATTCAGGGTTACCCATGAGACCCAGGGCTAGCTGGCACTTTGCAGTTCTGCAGGCAAGGCAAGAACCACAAATCCTTGCAGAAGAGCCACCAGCTCTCCCAAAACTGTACTCTGGGAGGGTTTGGCAAACCTTGATGTTTTCTAATAACAACCTCCAGCAGCGCTAAAGCACGCCGTGAAGAGTGGATTCACTTACGGGAGATGCACGAACCTCCTGCAGTCACTTTTTCTAGCATGCAAAAAAAAGCGGCGTCCCACTTTGTGACTTTGCTACTGCAGGTAGCTGGTCAGCAAGTCCACCAGAGTGTCTGCTGATCTCAACAGCGCTGCATGACGTACTCTGCAGTTTGGGCTCATGCCCAAAGGCCCCGTGGTAGGGGTTCTCACCCGTCCCTGCAGCTGGATGCCTTGGCTCTGCCAGTAACTGATGGGAGGCTGGAACAACAGCACAGCGCTGGCAGGGGAGCGAGTTGCTGGCGCTGGAGGAATGAGACTGACAGCAGCTGAGGAGGTCTTAATTGTAAAATGGACCTGAAAGGTGCCTAGTCCTGGCATCAAAAAACTACATTCAGACAGGGGAAGGAAGGTGAGTCCTTGGACTTGCTCAGCCCCTTTTTATTGCTACAGACACTGCTGATGGCCTCCTTCACTGGGAGACCTGTCTGAAGTGGTTGAGCTCAAAGTGTACCTTGGCAGGGGCCCAAGCACACAGCGTTCACGTTCAGACCTGGAACCTCAGCGTGCGTTCAGACAACCCAGAGGCCTCCTAGGTCCTTCTGCCACCACAATGGGCCAGAGAGATCTTTTCCCAATGGCCTTCATATGTATTTGGTCCCTGCTGCTTAAAAGTATTTTAAACCAGCCAACCCCTCAGTGAAGTTCAGCTGCTGCGGCAGTGGGGTTTGAGCATGAAGGTAAGTGAAAAGGGACCGAGCTGCTTCATGCTCCCACACACGCGCAGAGCACGTAGAGGGAGGGTAGTACTCCCGGAGGGTCAAACCTGAGTGCTGTACTCAAGGCTGCAGCAGGCTGGGCACCTGCATGGCTGATAGGGACTGTTTCAAGGCCACTTCTGGGACTGAGGAGTGTGCTGGGCCGGTTGCGGTGAGCACCAGGGTGCAAGTGACAGGATGCCCAAAGACCCGTTTAGGGCGAGGGACACCGGGAATAAAAGCCAGCTGACAGCCACAAAGCCCAGTCCTAATGGTTTGGGAACCCCTTCCCTGTGCTATCAAATCCGAGCTGGTGCCTCACACACACAAATGCCGCTCTCAGGGAAGAGAGCCCGGTAAGGAAAGAGTTTCCTATTTCCAAAACCAAGCTGCAGCCCCAGTGTTATTTCTTCCCTGTGTCAAGCTGGCATGTGAGCTAGTAAAAATCCCTGGGCTCACATCCTTCCCAGAAATGCCAGTCAAAACCCAAGCAGTTATTCACCCGGAGTACCAATTTTATAGTTCTGTGTGTGTCTATAATCTATTTACCAGCATTCCTACTTCAGTATGTGCCTGTTAATAAGATTAGTAATTAAAAAGCTTGATAGGAATTGGCAAGCCTAGTTCCTCCGCCTTTCCCTCCCCTCCAAGCCGGGCTGGCGTGGAGTCTGAGGCAGGGCTGGCAGAGTACCTGAAGGAGTGAAGGCAGGAAGGCTCTGCTGCAACCTCTGCCTGCAAGTAGGCAATGGAGAAATCCCGGCCGCTATGGGACAATCCCCTGCAGTTTGTTTTCGCCTGCATTTCCTATGCTGTAGGGCTGGGAAATGTGTGGAGGTTCCCATACTTATGCCAGATGTACGGAGGAGGTAAGTGTGGCTTATGTTCCTTGCTTCCCTTGAGGAGGAGTGTGACAAGCTTTAAATCCAAAGGTATGTCCTCCATGCTAAGGCCCTGTCCACCCAGCAGAGCAGGAGGTCGGGCTTTTCGCTGGTGTGCAATCTCTTCTGCTGCTGCTTTATTTCTTTCACATAAGGCTTTTACCTGACAGCTGCCCCGGTACAGCAGCTTTCAGTTCCTAGGAGTGCAGTGCAACGGTGGGAAGGCCCGTGTTCTGTAAAAAGGATGATGGTAGAGTAAGAGATGTAGGTCCATATGGTATTAATTTATTACTTTCTTGCCCCATTGAACCACCCTGAAGGCATCAGAAACTAGTTCAGTTCCTTGATAGTTCACTTGGGAACATACTGAGAAAGGGAAATGCTTATGCTGATTTAATTTAAGGATCAGCTTGTATCATTTCAGCTTGCTGTCACTAATGTGTTGTCTCTTATACAAAGCCTTACTTTAGGAGGTGATAACTTGGCTGCAAATCTGCCTTGAAGTTGGCTGAAACTCCTTAATCGATGGGAGTTCCACAGCTAAAGCCTCCCCATAAGCTTTGAAAACAGGGAATAAATTGGTTTGGGCTCAAAAAAACCCAAAAAGCTCTTTGAAAGTTTATCACTATCCTAGGTCCAAACTGGAGAAAGATGGGCTCTGTATCATGTACCAGCCACAGGTGTTCTTCCTTAGAAATCCAAAGTCAGTTAATTAGATTAATTAAAAAACAGTACTAATAATCTCTTCTAGTATACAGCTAGCACTGGTTAATGACTGTGTTTTGAAGAATCCCTATAGAAAGCCTCTCTTTATAAGACCCCCCAGTTTTATACTGCTTCTTGCGCTGCATCCCTTGACGTAGTGTTGGACCTGTCTCAGCTGTGCATCAAGTGACTCGATGAGCCTCTGCCTCATCTGCTTCTGGTCTGCTTCCGCCTTTTCTTCCTTTCAGGAAGAAACATGCTGAGATGTTTGAGTGCTTTTTGCTTGTTTTGTGTTTGTTTTGTGCTTGTTTTGTTGGCTTGTGGCTTGCTTTCAAATGCACATGTGGTGGTAGGAGTTGGTTCATGCTGGTTGTTGAAAAGCCAGCTCAGTGCTGGGACGGCATCAGAGCTGCTCTGTGGGATCAGGTCAGAAAAATCCAGAAAATACACTGGGTGAAACTGCAGTAGAAGCTAGATGCTGCAGCGGCAGAAGATTTCTTAGATGTTTCAGATAGCAGAAGCGATAAACGTGTGGCAATTCTGGGTGTGTTGCTCTACGCCGATGGTTTTGAGGGTAAGGACTTTGTGTCTGACACTGAACTCTAGCACGAAGCTTAAAATGCAAGTGTCTCTGTAGGCAATTAAACTGCCTGTGATTAGCTCACTAGCAGCCTGTCTTGGCTGACATCCTGAAGGACAGCAAAACTCAGACGCTGGGGTCTTTGCTAGGTTTCTCCTCTTCTTATCAGCCATCAGTTGTGTAGCAGGTGGTGAAAATTCCCTGAAATGTAACCAAAACTGGAACGCTTGATCAACCAGGAAAAAAAGATTTGATAAACCCAAGTATTTTCTGAAAAGTATGTTTTTATAAGAGTAGTTTCTCTACGACTTTAAATTTCCCAGGGGAGAGGCAGCTCTCCCTACTGTGAAACTAAAACTCCTGACAGCAGGCTTTGCTTTTCTTCATTGTTTTTCACTGCCCTCTTAAAAAGGATTCGGTGGCTTCCCAGGGGTCTGCAAAACCCACACAGACAAAACACCATTTCAGGAACTTAAAAGCTGGATACGCCAGGCGCTGGGCTTAGGGGGGATACCAGCAATTGCTCATTTGACACCTTGTTAGGACAAGGGGAAATGGTTTTAAACTAGAACAGGGTAGGTTCAGGCTAGAGGTAAGGAAGAAATTTTTTACAATGAGGGTGGTAAAACACTGGAACAGGTTGCCCAGAGAGGTAGTGGAGGCCCCATCCCTGGAAACATTCAAGGCCAGGTTGGATGGGGCTCTGAGCAATCTGATCTAGTTAGCAGTGTCCCTGCTCACTGCAGGGGGGGTGGACTAGATGACCACTAGTGGTCCCTTCCAACCCTCAACATTCTATGATTCTATGATTCCTTGTGGAAAAGCACAGAGCCAGTCGCTGATGATACTCATAAACAGGGCGTTTGCAGACTTTACATCCTCCTGCCTCTCCATTCATCAGCGCGTTGCTTCCTTCTCCTTGCTCATCTCCGGGGATCTTGACCCGAACCGAGCAAGGGGGCTTCAAACCTCATAAGTGCAGTTTGTCTGTCCGTAAGTGGGCTGGGCCAGGCTGAAATGACACTGGGATGGGTTTACAGCAGGGCTGGTGCTCGGCAGGGCTCAACCCTGAGCGAGGAAGCCCCTGGACAGCAGGAGGGATGCTGGGCAGAGGTGAGGGTACTGCTGGCCAAGCCTGGTGCCTCCACCAGACCCAGGGCATGCTCCACATGTGGTGCCCACTGCAGGGGTCTGGCCTGGGGGCTGGTTTTTGCAACCAGTTGGCACCCTAGGGAGCAACGTTGGGTGTAGATGAGCAGGGAGTTCAGGGGAGATGTGCTGGTCCACAGGGGATGAGGAGCTGGTTCACACAGCTGCCCTCAGTCACTTACATGAGGCGTTTTGGTTTTAGCCTTTAGGAAAAGTAGCATCAGGAGCAAGATCGGCGCGCAAACAAGGCACAGAGCAAGGGGCAGGAGGTGAAGAGAGCAAGCCTGTAGGCACTCCTTCTCCTTGCAAGGTGGCAAAGCCGATGCCAAGCATGTGGCAACGCTGCTGGGAGGGCGGAAAAGCCTTTGCAAAGGGCCTAAGGCTGAGCCCCCCCACAGCACATGGCAAACCTCCCCTCGGTGGCTGCTGGGGCAGCTCGCACCCCACCAGGACAGAGCGGCTGCGGGAGCTCTCGAACCTCCGACGGCTCCCTTGCGGTGCAGGAAGTTATCTAACAGGCCAACAAAGGAGTTGTTAACAACGGCAGAGCCAGGAGGTGGGAAATTAATTCCCAGAATAAACAGGATTATTGCCCAGTGTTTATTTCCAGTTCTTTGCCTCAGTCGCTGCCCGGAGTTCATTCCTCTGCAGCGCTGCACCGAGCCCATTGCGAGGAATGTTAATGCTGCAGATTAAATCCTAAATAAGAGATATTTACGTAAATGTTTTTGGCTTGCTGTAAAAAGGGAAGCAGGAAAGCCTTCACAAAAATCCAGTTTTTGACTCAGTCAGCAGCTCTTTCTAAAGCGAGCCTCAAGTTGAGGACAAGAAGATTTTTTTTTTTTAATTGTTTTTTTTTTCCCCAGCAGAAATTTAAGCCAAAGCGCATCCTGCCCACCCTTTCCTGCTGTTCCTCTTCTGCAGGAGCATCCCTGGGGCTCTCCATGCCAGGGCAGTGGGGACAAGCGGACATGGGCCAGGGGGAGGCCTTGTCCCTCTGTCCCGGGGTCTGCTCCCAGAGGTGGGACACTGAGGGAAAAGCCTTCACCCCTTTAGCTGGCATTTGCGGGCTCAGCATGGGCTTTGGGGGGCAGTTTTTTTGTAGTTTTGGGTTGGTTTTTTTTAAGCCAGGCCAGATTTCATTACATTACTTAGAACTCTATTCAACGCAGGTGTTGCTGTGACTTTTTCATCAAGCGCTTCGGCTCTGCCGCAGCCTGACGCACACAAAGTAAATCTTTCCCTCATCCTCTTTCTCTCATTATCTTTCCCAAGGTTTGGCTGGCGGTTAGTTACCCTTTAACAGCCCCAGCCCCGAACATTGCTCAAACCGCCTGCAAAGCACCTGGGGCAGGCCCGCCGCGCCGGGGTGATGACCGGCACATTTTAACAGCAGAAATCCCAGCACTGCCAAGCGCCCGTGGAAAATTCCCTGCGCCCAGGCGCTCAGTGCCCGCTGGCACCTGGGATGCCACCTGAAATTCCATGAGATGTTCCTCAAGGTTGCGCCGTGCCCTCAGTACACAAGGTGCCCCAATAGGACCCAGCTCCAGCCACCTCCTGGGACACTAATGGGGCAATTCGACCACGAATAGGGCAAACTGGTGTTTATTGTGCTGCTGATCTGCTGAAGGCCGTCTTGTTGGATTTTTCTTGCAGGCGGCTTTTTGATCCCATATTTCATCATGCTGATTGTCGAGGGGATGCCGCTGCTCTACTTGGAGCTGGCCGTGGGGCAGCGCATGCGTCAGGGCAGCATCGGTGCCTGGAAGATGATAAGTCCCTACCTCTGCGGTGTCGGTAGGTTCTCAGTTTGGAACTTTATTTTTAAGTACCTGAGGAAGACAGATGGTTTTTGAATGGAGAGCTTTATCTTTCAGAGCAGAAACCAGGCAGGAGCTGGGGTTTTACTGGGTCTCACCAGGCCGAGCAAAGCGGTTATCCAGATGCCCCACAGCACGTGTTTACCCCATCCCTCGCAGGGCACTGGGGCCAGACCCTGCCTCGCTGTACCAGGTCCCAGGCCACAGAGGTGTGAGTCCCACTGCCCTCAGGCAGACTGCCAAAAATCAGGGTGTGAAGGCCAGTGCTGGAGCTGCCTGCACTGGGCTTTGACCCCAACAGCATCATCCCGAGAAGCTCAACATCGACTGATAAAATGGTGTCTCAATTTCCTACTGCTGCTGCCTACCGTTTACCAGCGGCTGCTCTCAGCTACGTTATTCTGTTATTAGATTACCCCGATAGCCCAAACTAATTCGCTTATGCGCACATTTTATTTTTAATGATACATTGAATATTCATCCCCCTCAGGGGCTAAAGTATAAAATCCAATATGGAACAGCCCGGTTGGGAGGAGGAGGCGGCTGCACCGGTGGGGTCATGCCCTGTGCACGGGGCTGTGCAGAGGCAAATCCTCCCCCCCCCGCTGGCTGCAGCGCCCCCTGGGGTGTTACGGGGCCCTGGGTGTTTCGGGGTTTCACCACTGACCGAGCGCCTCTGTCCATGCCCGCAGGCGTTGCCAGCGTCGTCGTCTCCTTCTTCCTCTCCATGTACTACAACGTGATAAACGCCTGGGCCTTCTGGTACCTCTTCCACTCCTTCCAGGTGTGTGGGTGCCCGGCGGCACAGCTTGGCCCTGCCACAGTGGTTCATGGTGGCTTTGCATTGGTGCTGGGCAACGTCCAGCACCATCGTCAGCTGGGGGACACCGAAAGCTCCAGAAACCATCCCAGGGCTTTTCTCGGGGGGGGGGGAAAAAACTCGAGGCAGTGGTGTCTCTCTCTGGGGGCTCCCCAAGGGCATCAGGGTGTCTTCTCTCCACGAAATGCAGGTTGAGGCCAGTCCCATGATGCCTTTGTGGCCACGGTGTCCTGCACCCTGGGGTGGGCCTGTCCAAAGGCAGAGGAGACGGTCAGCCCTGGGGGAGAAGATCGGGAGGGTTGTCCCCAGGGGAGAGGGTCGGGACCAAGGGAGAGGGTCAGCCCCAATGCAATGCAGGGACAAGCAAGCCCTGGACAGAAAGCTCCCCTTGCCTTCACCCCCCCGGGCTCTCCCCACCAGGCTGACAGTGGGCGCTTGCCCCGCTCCCCTCCCCTCCCTCGCAGGACCCCCTGCCCTGGGCCACCTGCCCCCTGAACAGCAACCGCACCGGCTACGAGGAGGAATGCGAGAAGACGTCGTCCACCCAGTACTTCTGGTACCGGCAGACCCTCAACATCTCTCCGTCGCTGGAGGCCAGCGGGAGCGGGCCGGGGGAGGAGGCGCCCTGCCCGACCCCGCCTCTCCCCAGCAGCAGCCGTCCCCTCTGCCTTGTGCTGACCTGCTAGGTTTGCAACAGAAAAGGGCTCAGCCAAAACCACTGAGTGATATTAAAAAAACCAAACCAAACCAAAACAAAAACACCCCAGAAAATTCCCTTTAAATGCAGACAGCTCTGCTGCAAAACCAGCCGCCAAGCTGCTGGCCTTGAGGAAAGCCGCTCGTCATGGCAGAGCCATGTCAGGAGATGCCTGTTCCTCAGTCTTTGCAAGGAAAAAAAAGACATTTACCGCACATTTGCGCTCACTTTTCATTCCCAGCAGAAGTTATGAGGAAGCAGGGAAAAAGAGCGCGGTCCCGGCTGAGACTGCGCTAAGCAGCCAGCTGAGGGCTGTAATCCCCAAATCGTATTAGCCGGGCGCAGAAAGCCAACAGACTGTAAACCAAGAATAACCTCTTAAACTTGCTGCAGCTGGCTCTGTGGGCAAAAAGGAAACACATGGATAGCCAAGGCACATTGAAAGCGCATCGTCAGGGCCGGGTCTCATCAGGGGGAGCAGAGGGGGCCTCCCCGGCACCCCCGTGCATGGGAAGCAGGCTGTGCCGCTGGGGACGGTGAAGCTGCTGCGTTTCCAGGTGTGCAGCGGGAAAGGCAGATGCCCGCTGGCAGCGCAGACAGGCGCAGCTCAGAGGAATATTTGGTAATGGCCCATCTGCGGCTCTTCCCAAGAGCTTGGGAAGGCCTGTTTTTGGTGAGTTAGTGTTTGTGTAAGTTTCTGGATGAACCATTGGAATACACCTCCCTTTTTTTTTTTTTTTTTTTTTTTTTTCTTTTTGTGTGTGGCTCTTTCCAACATGGAGATTGAATCTGAATGTTTAAACTCAGGGTTCTGCTCAAAAGCTTATGGAAGACAACTGAAAGATTTAATTCCCTCCCCCACCTGGGTTACATTAAGCTAAAGTCTCTTTCACATCTGAATTAAAATATTTTCAGTCAAGTTTGATTTTTGGCCTTTTATGAGGCCTGCTCACCTTCCTCCTAGAGCGGATGCTCTTTGCCTAATGCATTGACAGGCTGGTGGGAGCATTAGCACAGGGTCCTTATTATTAATAAAAACTTGTTTCCCTAAAGCCTAAATCTAAAGTCAGATTTACCTGAAAATATTTGTTTGACGATTAATCCAAGGTAACAAATACTTTACATAAAGCATTTCCATTGTTGTAATTGGGAAAAAGCTGATCTATTACTGCCAGTCTCGCGTATTCTTTAGGCCAAGGTCTTTCCCCTCTGTCCCCCAGGTGGTCTATGTAACAGCTTCTTTGCCATACTGCGTTCTCATCATATACCTCATCAGAGGATTAACACTTCATGGAGCTGTGAATGGGCTCATCTACATGTTCACACCAAAGGTACGGAAAAATTGTACCGAATTCTTCACAAAATGTTAATTAGTTACCAAACACGTAGAATTTTTTAAAACGTGGTGATGCTCCTTTTCCTTTTACTGAATTTTTGCAGCAGTAGCTCAGGTTAGGCAGCTGGGAATCCTGGCTGGGACCGGCTGGAGGCTCTTCTGCCATGGTGCCTGTAAGCTGCTTGCTTTCTCCTGCAGGCAAAGACCTGCCCGTTAACATAACCCCTAGCGTATTACATCTAGACTGAGCAGTAACCCTGCCCACAAAACACCCCAAGCTAAAATGGGTGGAAGGCTGGAAGGGGCAGTGCTGGCCATCCGTGCGCGGCTTCACGCTCCTGCTCTCCCCGTCCGGTTTTGCAGCTGGAGCAGCTGTCGAACCCCAAGGCGTGGATCAGCGCCGCCACGCAGATCTTCTTCTCTCTCTGCCTGGGCTTTGGCAGCCTCATCGCATTCGCCAGCTACAACGAGCCCAGCAACAACTGCGAGAGGCACGCCATCATCGTCTCGCTGATCAACAGCGCCACGTCCATATTTGCCAGCATCGTCACTTTCTCCATCTACGGCTTCAAGGCGACGTTTAACTACGAAAGCTGTATAAACAGGTAAGAGCCTGGTGTTTCGCCTGCTCTCCACCACAAGCTGTTCCTGGGAAGGGGAGGGGAGGGGAATATGTAACAGCGCGTGGTGCTGCCCCGAGCCCAGCCCTGATACTGCTCTGATAAAGCTAATGGTGCGATCTAACGCGATGAGGGCCGAGATGAAAGGTCAGAGCTGGTGTGGCTTTTGACACCCGGGTGCCGCTTCCAGGCACAGGCTGGGACGAGAGGATGAGTTTGCCTGGGTGAGTCACGGTGGCAATTTCCCCTGCACCCCGGTCCCAGCACGTTCTTTGCTGGGGCGGGGGCGGAGCTGCTTAATAAAATGCAGTGATGCTCAGAGCCCCCCTTTAAGGCTAAGCCCGGTGCCGGGAGCTCAGCTCTGGAGGTGCCCAGCAGCCTGCGGGATCGTGCGCCGCGGCAGCAAGCTCGCGTGCGGTCCCTGGCACAGGGCCCACGGCAGTTACACTTTTACTCATGTTTTTTACAGCTTTCAATGTATCTGCTGATCAGAGAGGAAACCAAGCTGCTAGACCCTGCTCCTTGCCAAAAGGCTCGTTAAATTGGTGGGGGTGTGGACGTGGGACCAGAGGGCAAAGGGGAAGAGACACCAGCTGGCACTGGCCAGCACCCAAAATATCTGCTGGCTTCCTCCCGGGTGCCTGAGAGCAGCAGCCCAGGTGCAGGAGCTCCTGCCTCCAAAGCAGAGATGAGCACGAGGCTGCCGGCATCCCAGCACTGCACTGGAAGTGCCACGGCCACAGCTCCCACATGGGGAGACCGGAGCCCTGGGGCTGGCAGAGCACCCCTGCATGGGGGGCGATGGAGAAGGGGATGGGGTACAAAACCAGCATCAGTTTTGTACCTTGGCCTGAAAGATCAATTCCAATAATCTTTCCCAGGGTGATCCTGCTGCTGATGAATGCTTTCGACCTGGAGGAAGGCTCTTTGACAGCAGACAACCTCAACGAGATGAAAGACTACCTCATGGCCACCCACCCGCACCAGTACGAGCAGTTAGCGCCGCAGCTTAAAAACTGCAGCTTGGAAGCTGAACTGGACACGGTGAGTGGCCGCTTTGTGCTGGTCCCTTTGTCTTCCCTCGTGCCTTTCCTCGCACCGAACCCAGGCAGCCCCTCAGCCCCATGCAGGCACATCCATGCCCCCCAGGAGCTGCCTGGCCAGGGGCTGCAGTGGGGTTCATTTCTGTACCTCGGGATGGGGCGGGGGGGCACCGGCTCAGCCCGGCCAGGGGCTCGCCTGGCTCCTCAGCAGCTGAACCGTGCGGCAATGCAGCTGGACTGCTGGCTCCAGCGGTGGGATGGGGCAGGTCACAAAGGTATGGGGCAAACATTTCTGCTACGAGCGCGACTATGCCAGCTTCTATCCAGTCTGAATAAATCAGTGATGATCTCATCTGCTTCCGCTGCGCAGAACTGCCGTCACGAGTGTATTTTGTCATTGTGGAGGGTCAGCCTCATATGTCTCTACTTTTATGTCCCTTTATCGAGCTGAGGAGCTGCCTGTAACTCACTTTTCCCCCGCTCCTCGCCGGCAGGCTGTCCAGGGGACGGGACTGGCATTTATAGTCTATTCTGAAGCGATTAAAAACATGGAGGTGCCCCAGCTGTACTCCGTGCTCTACTTCGTCATGCTGCTGATGCTGGGCATCGGCAGCATTTTGGGAAACACTGCTGCTATCCTCACGCCGCTGACCGACAGCAGGGTCATTGCTGCCCGATTCCCCAAGGAGGTGATCTCAGGTAAGCACCTGCCGTGAACAGCATTGGGCCGTGCAGGGGGGGGAGCACGTGTGTGCAAAAGTGTTGGTGTCCTGCAGGGCAGCAGACACGTCAAGATACCCATGGTGTGTGGCTCTTCGGTTTGCGTCACTGGTATCCCGGCTGCGAACCAGCTCAGTCTTTGGCCAAAAGTGATAGGCGCTCCTCTTCGGGCATGGAAATCGATTGTCCCAGCTTAAAACCTGTTTTAACTGGATGCCCAGCGGTAACAGCAGAGGCCGTGCACACCCACACGCGCGCGTGTGCGTGACAAGGCTACAGCCAAGACTTGGTTGTCGTGACCCTGCTGGGATGATGGGCTGTGACTGTGCAGCTCTAAGGAGCGGCAGTTTAAGGATACACCAGCATGGTCGCACGCACACAGAGACAGGCCTTTTCCAAAGGGGGGAAAAAAATTATCTCTCCCCTCCGAGAAAGCTGCCACCCCTTGACAGGAATCAGTAGAAATCCCACCAGGGTTTTGGTCCCAAGACCTATGACTTGGAAAAACCTAGGACCTAGGGAAAAGTTCTTCACCGAAAGGGTTGTCAGGCTCTGGAATGGGCTGCCCAGGGAGGTGGTTGAGTCCTCATCCCTGGAGGTATTTAAAAGAAGGACAGATGAGGTGCTTAGGGACATGGTTTAGTGGTGGGATGGCAGGGTTAGGTTAAAGGCTGGACTCGATGATCTCAAAGGTCTTCTCCAACCAAAGTGATTCTATGATTCAGGAAGGGCCGTGGGGCGCTTGTCATCTCTCAAAAACATCAGCACAAGAGGCAACCGAAGGTAACGGTCACTTTTCCAAAGGGGGGAAAAAAATTATCTCTCCCCTCCGAGAAAGCTGCCACCCCTTGACAGGAATCAGTAGAAATCCCACCAGGGTTTTGGTCCCAAGACCTATGACTTGGAAAAACCTAGGACCTAGGGAAAAGTTCTTCACCGAAAGGGTTGTCAGGCTCTGGAATGGTCTGCCCAGGGAGGTGGTAGAGTCCTCATCCCTGGAGGTATTTAAAAGAAGGTAGATGAGGTGCTTAGGGACATGGTTTAGTGGTGGGATGGCAGGGTTAGGTTAAAGGCTGGACTCGATGATCTCAAAGGTCTTCTCCAACCAAAGTGATTCTATGATTCTATGACATTTCCCCCATGCAAGCAGATTTCCAGGTGTAAGAGCACTGTCCCTGTTTTACCCACACAGGGTTTGTGTGTTTCATTAACTGCGTGATTGGCCTGATCTTCACCATGGAGGCTGGAAATTATTGGTTTGACATATTCAACGACTACGCAGCCACCCTCTCGCTGCTGCTCATCGTGCTGGTAGAAACCATTGCCGTGTGTTACATCTACGGGATAAGAAGGTAAAAGCTTGAACCCTCCTTTCTTCGTAGCAGGGGATAGCAGGGGTGTGGCTGCTGGCCGAGATACACAGGGCCAAGAATAAAAATACCACCTCGAGCTAAATTTTTCTCCTATGCTATGGTGTCAGCAAGGCAATGGGGTCTCCCCTGCCCAGCAGACCCCTTCCAGGGTTCAGGGGTTCGGGGCTGCATGGGGGCAGGGCTGGGCTGACACCCTCCCTGCAGGCAGGGGAGCACTAATGAGCCATACACGCTGCTCCCTGCTCTCCTCTTCGGTCTCAAGAGCACCTTCTGCCGAAACGCTGCTGCTCCTTTCACAGCGATTCAGCGTGAGCACAACGGTGCCAGCAGAGCCTGGTTTCAGACCTTGCACATCGCTGGTCTCCCAAGCCGCCCCTTGTGGGGGCCCTTTTACCTTGTGGGTAAAAGCAAGATTCGGCATCAGGGAAGGTTTCACGCAGCAGAGGAGTTTGCACTCAGGGCGTCTAAAAGGAAAAGGCTTCAGTGTTTGCTTCGTGGGGCCGCTGGCGCAGTACCTGTGCAGGCGCCAACATGGGCGTTACCTCCTCGATGAGCTCACAGCCTTCGAGTCAGATCCGGGTTTCCTGCCTGATTTGAGGTGTCACCCCCGGCACTCGTACGTCCTCAGAGACAGCTGAGTAACAGCGGTGAGAACAACTCGACTACACAAAAACGCGCAGGGTGTTCTCCACGTTACTTAAGCATAATCGCTTTTCTCCGTCAGCTTACACCGACGACGGTCTGAACGTACTTACACTCCAGGCAGAATTTTTTTGGGACTTTGCTGTACCTCTTCCTAGCAACAATTCCCCAGTCTGGGATTCTCACAGAAGCCCTGCTTTTTTATTTCAACCTCACTGTATCAATCACCCTGGTGATCCATTTCTTCAGCCGATACCTCCCTGCTCATTACTCTTCTGGTCAACTATACTCCCCCTTCCCATCTCGCATATTTAATTCTGTAGGTGGTTTTGAAGTAACTCAGATCAAGGTATCGATCGCGCCCATGCAGCTGTTGTCAAAAATATGTTGGTGTTTGTTTGTGGGTTTTTTTTTTTTTTTTTTAAAACACAGATTTGAGAAAGACCTTCACACCATGATTGGACGCAAGCCAAACTGGTACTGGAAAATCATGTGGGCTTTTGCTAGCCCTTTGCTAATTGTAAGCCTATTTATATTTTACCTCACCGACTATATCCTCACAGGAACACTGCAATACCAAGCATGGGATGCCACACAGGTAAAATAGTTCTGGTTTGTGGGTTTTTTTTATTTGCTTTTTTTTTTTTTTTTAAACTGTCCTTAATTCCTGCAAGGACACAGCCTTTCTTCTTCAGTACATCATTCCAGACAACCACCTTCTGAAAGCTTGCAGCTGAAGTCAGGGAAACCCCTTAATTTTGTGGCAAGGGAAAACGTGACCTAGTGTGACAATAATGTTCTGTAAAATGGGAGTAATTTTCCACCACAATTCTTAATCAATCCCTTCAAAAGGTAAAATTTTATTCATTTTGAGTGAAGACCCACATAGCATCTTAAAAAAAATACTCTTTGAACAGAAACATGACTTTCTGGGTGTAGTATTTTGAAGAAAAATAGTGGTATTTTAACAGAACTGAGCTGCTGCTGGAATAAGTAGTTTTCATAGAACCAGCGTGGTTTATGAAAACCAGAGTGGTTTCGTAATTACCACATACAGTTTTCTTCATGGGCAAAACGCTTTTGTACAAAACGCTGAACTGTGTATTTACCACAGAGGAATTACTACTGGATAAGTAATCACCGGTTTCGTAACCTTTTGTGGAAAGGTTCCTAGCACACAGAAACAAATTACACCCAGTGTTTTCATGTCTTCACCGATTTGGGCGGCGTGGCAGGCCTGGCCTGTTGACTGGGTGTCAGCATGAGCCCACAGGCTCCAGGGGAGGAAGGTGGCGACCTGACAGGGGTCAGGGCTGAGCCACCTCATTAAGAAATGCGAATCAAGCCAAATTCTGCTCTTTACCAAAGCTTGCAAAAGTTTTCCCCAATATTTTTGCCAGCAGCTCTGTTCTCGTCAATTTTAAGCTTGTACGGTTGGACAAAGCAGGGCAGGGAGGAGAGTCGTGGGCTGCTGCAGCCTGCGAGTGCTTCTTGGCCGTCCCGTTTACACAGACAGCTTTGCTCCGGACCCGGCTCCAGGACACTGAAAACCACAGATCCCGCAGCCCCAACGCTGCTTCTCTCCCTTGCAGGGGCAGCTGGTGACGAAGGATTACCCAGGCTACGCCCTGGCAGTGATCGGGCTGCTGGTGGCGGCGTCCACCCTGTGCATACCCCTGGGGGCACTAGTAACTTTCGTAAGGAAGAGACTGAAGAGGGAAAGCGTTTCCACCCTTGCATGAGAGCTGACAGCTGGATCGAGGAAGACCTCACCCCCACTGCCAGTGACCGGGCGCTTCTGGAAGACAGCAGCAACCATTACTTGTAGCAGCTATTTATAGAGTTGAGGATCGTGGGTGCTATATTGACCAAAAAGTGCTCTTAGAAGGTTCCACAATGGTTTGGGGAAACAAACAAACAGCTCGTCTGTAATAAGATGAAGCTTTAAAATGGCCTCTGTAAGAGAGGGAAGAACAGAAGAGCAGCTCACAAAATGCTAGCTAGCACGAATCAGCCCGCCAATCCACTCGTTACACAGTAGGTAATTCTTTTCCACTCTGCTGTAGCACTGCCTATGTGGAAACATGAGCGACCAACTAAGCATGCTCCTGCCCCAAAGTACCAGGAACTGCCCTTTCCCTTCAAGAAACCCACGCTTAAGCACGCACGCTATTTGAAATGACATCTGTATTTCATCAACAGATGAAACTGTTGAAATCTTGCAATGAAATGAGATGATCCCTTTCTTACATGGGAGAAAGTCAGTAGGATGGCGTTCAAGGTAAATGTGGTGAAGACCACTTCTTTTATTCTTGTATCCAGCAAAGTAATTTATATATATATATATATATGAAGTGCAGAAGTTCTCTCATCTCCAGAAGAAGTAAACTTCCAATTCCAGTATGTAATTGTGCACTGTGCTGTACTTCGTATTTTCTAGGGATGCGCTGTAAGTACACTAGAAGAAATCTAAGCCCCACCCAAACAAAAGTATGCCGTAGAAGCAGCTGTGACAAAGTTCATATCCAGGTATACTTTAATCATGAGATGTAACAATCCAGCAGTTCCACAGAACCGGTTCATTTCCCTAGGTGAACGTTTTTATAAAGAAAGTAACATGTTTAAATTGTAAGCTTCATCTAATAGAAAACAGTAAAATTCCATCTATGAACTCTGAAGAGGTCACTCTGCAGGAAAGACATTAGCGACACACTCATGGGATGAGGGTTCTTAATATAGCATCTTAACTACATAACCATTAGAAGGCAGCAAATGTCTTAATTTCAAACAGACATTGTTAAAGCACACCGACACAAGTCTCTTGCTCTGGGGCAAAAAGCAAGAGGCAACTGTACAGCCTTCACGGGCAGGTGGAATCTTGACACAGACAACCAGCACCAACAAGACACACTTAGCCTGCAACAGCCTCTAGAAATAGGACAGGCCTCCCTCCCCAGCCTTCACCAGCAAAGGAAAGACAACTTTTTCACATTTCAGTTTATTAAAAATGGATACCATAAACAAGACCTGTACAAAAAAATATCCAAAATTGCCCAGAATTTGGTAACAGTTGCATGGTGAGAAGTTATCGTCTTGGGCCCCCTCTTCCTCTTCCACGACCTCGGCCTCTCCCACGGCCTCTGCCACGGCCTCTGCCAGCAACTTAGCAGGTGAAACAAAAAGGATAAATCAAGTGAGAGACAGGAATACTTTCCTTTTGATTAAAACACTCTGCATCAAGCAAAAATAACATCACGTCTCATCACAGGGAAACAGTAAGTCAGACACCAAGTCTGTTACTTCTCAGTAAGTTTCAGACAATATTTTCACCTTTTGTGTGAGGTTTTACAGTACACAGCTTCCACAGACTACTGGCTGGCTGTGGCTTCACTGCAGGAAACAAGGGGATACAACAGCAGGCTGCTCCCAAATGCTAGGGTAAGTCTAACAGAGAACTATGATTCCTCTCCTTTTTTTTTTTTTTGATAACATCGAGTTTGTCAGGTACCAGAAAAAGCATATGCAAGACAGAGTATTTTGTTTACTATTCACTACAGCAGAAAAGGTTGGAGGTTTTTTTGGCCACAGCTCACGTTGCAGTTTAAAGTGCGCTGCTAAAGGGAAAAAGTGAGTTTTAGCACACTGTGAGATGCCCAAGCTTGCCCGTTCTCAGGCGCCATGTGACAGGGCAGCATTTTGAAAGGATCCCCAAACCAAGTAGCTCTTCATGTTTTCAGTGATGCCTCTGCCAATTTCAAATGTGATTCTCAGGCCAAGGCCTTGGCTGTGTGCTCCTTACATACTGCTATTTAATGGTAAAGGGAAGACAGAATCGCAGAATTATTCAGGCCCCAAGCAACTGCTGGATGTCACGATCTATATGGTGATAGTATATCATCTCACCCCTTTTGCCTAAAGAAATACGATCTCCCCTCTCAGGTTGCAAGGCCACCCTACAGGCTTTTGAAATTACTGGTTAATTTCCAACAAGTTCATCAGTGTAAGGCTTGAAAAGATACCCAGGAACTTAAAATTCTGTGGAAGTGGGCGGCCGGGCAAGAGAGAGACACAGTATATAGCTCCCACAGCCAAGCTGCAGGCTGTAACAGTTACTCTGTTCCATCTGCGGGCAGGCAGGTTAGAAACGCAGCAAAGATGGAAAGAGCAGAGGCAGGGGCCAGATCTGTGAGAAGGAAGGTGTCACTTGTCTTGCTGGTCATGGTCTGACTCCTCGTAAAACACACAGAAGCATCAACACCTGCCTAAATGATTACAGCACCTACACGCACCAGCAGACAGTTGCGCTCACCAAGCGCCAGCGGGCTCAGGCCCCAGGCACACGTGGCCACATGTGTCCCTCAGCCAGCATCCTGCCTTCCACCACTTCGTTTGCCAAGAACAGGCAGCACCCTACAAGCTTCTGAAGCCCAAGGGCATTTACAGGTGAAGGGAAAGCACAGCACAACGCAGCTGCAGTCTGAGAGCACTTCAGTACAGTGAAGCTGCAAGGAGTATTAAACGGAGGTAAACAGCCCCATTACAGCTCCTTTTCTTTCTTCAAAGTTAAAAAGAGTGACATTCTTGTTCACATCACATCGTGAGGCTCAGAAAAAAAAGTCATCCAACCACACTCCAATTTCTCCATGTGGTCAGGTTATTGCTGATGGACATGAGAGGAGCAGAACACTTTCAGGTGCTTTATCCTTATTCTATATAAAGACAGCAGCCACAACGCTGGCACTTCATGACTCACACACCTGAGGGTTCCTTGTACCACTTAGGTAAGGCAAGCACACCAATTCGTAACATACACATGGATCAAAGACCACAGATCCAAATACGTACATGCTAATTACAGGAGAAATAGCATGACGTTATTTTAGAGCACAATTAGTTTTCACTTAAAACTTATTGTTTTTAAAACACACAGATTAACCGCTAGGCAAAATATATACTGCCTGAGGACAACTTATGGGTTTGCTGGATATTAATCTTTAATAGTGCAGATTAAAACTGAATTACTCTCTGTACTGTTAGGCTTCTAAGGAAAAGGTTTTTCTTCAACAATCATTTGGAAAAATAAAATTTAAAAAAAAAAGGTTCCAGGAAGAACGCAGAGCAGAACACTACCGGGAGCCAAAGCTAGGGATAAAGATAACGGCTCATCAGAACATGGCCTCCCTCAGATTCTCAAGTCTCTCAAATTCAGTTCTCTGACAGATTATCCACTACCAAGTGAGATTTCAGTGAAGCATTCAGCCCTGTTCAAGAGGCTGTTCTGTACTTTCTTGTTAGACTATGTGAAGTTCCCAATGCAAACTGGGGAAACACAGCAGACATTCAGAGAAGGGGGAATGTGAATCTCTTTGGTGTCAATTCTGAGACCAATAGGCTAAGATTTGCTCAAGCTTAAAAAACATTTACGTTTTTAAAAAAAAAAAAAAAAGTATGAAAAGCCATATACATAATTTCACAGGGAAGAAAGCTCTACGGATGCTAAGAAGGTGGGCAAGGCAGCCTTAGCCAGTTCAGTATCAAACCCTCCAAGATGAAAGAACTAGCTGCCGAATGCAGATATTAAGACACTCAAATCCGATGGCTCCAGATTCAGACCACTAAAACGCACACAAAGGCAGAACAAACACAGACTGGGAAAGCACAAACTAACCTGCTTCTCTTTTCTTGGACTTGACTTTCGGTTCAACATCCACAAGCAAAGTATCCAGCGGCAAACTGTCTGGCAGAATGAAGTATCGGATGTTATTCCCTCGAATACTCAGCGTCTCCAGCTGTACGGGTTCTCTGTTCTTCAGTGTCATTTTCACTGCTTTGAGATGCGTATTCATACTGACATCCACCCCTGAAACAACACAAGTCTAATTTCAGGGATGAACGCCCATAAGATGGTCCACTGTTGGCTATTTTTAAGTACACACATGCTTCAGATTTATCCTGTTCATTAACACCTGCTTCTGCCATTCATTAATTAAGCCCCTACATGTCTTTTTCTCTCTTAAATTATGCTTACTAATTTACCAATTGCTGCCTTCAACACCTCGTTGCTAGAGATCTTTATCTTGGTCTTAGCAACAGCCATAACAATTTTGTAAATGGTTAAAACAATTCCTCTAAATAACAAATAAACTGCTGCTTATTACACAAGTCCAACATCACTCTTTTGACTCTTTTAAAAAGCAGCAAAACAAACCTTTGAGGAGGGAAAGTAACCTGATCACTTCCTCTTTCTGTAAGCCTTAGAAAAAGTCCAACTGCCAAAGAAGCATTTCTTTTCTGATCAAATACATCCAATACTAGTACGGTATCTTCTATGAAATGACGTAAAATACACTACTGCAAGGAACAGTCATTGTGGTTACAAACTCCACAAAAAACCAGTACGTAAAAATTGTACGGAATCAGTACTGTGCCCACTACGCAGTGCTAAGCATAATCTGACACTAGAAAAAAAAATCTCAGTCGAGTGCATGTACTGAATAACAGCCCTGCAAAGCACTGAAAAGCACCCTGTATTAATTTTTATTTTGCACATCGCAAATCTTGCATGGTATTTGATCTCAAACTATGAAGAGCAAAATGAGAGTAACTTTTTCTGATCAAAAATTTAGGCGAGATGGAAACTAGTTTACAAACACCTGCTAATTCAGTAACAGGGCCACCCACACGAGCAAAATCCTTTGTGTGTTCAAAGTTCTGTACAAACGACCCTTTGTGGTAAAAATAATTACTGTCTTATTTCATAAACACAGAAAGACAAACTGTAAGGTATCTTACTGAGGTAAATAATATAAATGAGTAGCAGGCCAGAACCAGAAGAACCACTGTGCTGCACTTAATTCCGTATATTTTTCTTACTTCTAGATTTTATGCAGCTCTCCGACACCTTCGCTCCACCTGACCTGCCCCCTTAGTTTGTGTAACACGTGCATTACGTGGCACCTGCCCCTGCAGCACGCCTGCTCTGGCAAACGACACCCTGGGGAGGAAGAGGAGATTGTGCAATTTGCAGACAGGACAGCGATTACAAACATAGTTCACGCACTGGCGTAAAGGGAAGACTGTCATTTTAGAAATACGGATTGCAAAGTTTTTACAGGTTCTTAGCAGAAAAGGAGAGAGACTTTGCTCAAGAATTAAGCCTGCAAGAGCACTGAGGTCAGGAGACAAGCAATTCGTTTGCCTCCTACCTAGCTGGGTTCAATAGAGCATGCTGCAATCAGATACCAGGGTGGTGCATTCAAGTCTAATCAAAGCTGATGGATCCAGCTGCAATATGATGCCAGTTTTTAACTGCCAAATCTCAGCAGATTGCTACTGGCCAAAAAAGCACCTAAGCAATCCCCTGGAATACAACTCTGCCAATTTTGAACTGCAATTTTTTTTTTTTTAACGGTGTCTGGGCAGAATAGCTTCTAAAAGTAGCCTGGGGTGAGTGCAGGAAAGGAGATCAAGCACATTCATCAACCTAACTGTAAGGGTTTGCTTCATTCAATAGGATGTGCCCCACCTACAGACCTGATCTTCTCTAAAGTAATGCCAATGTGCACGTTCTCAGAACAGTATCCCTCAATAATATTATTAAAGCAAACAAAATATTCTGCGCATTTTGCAATAGATGCAAGAACCCTATAATGAACCATCATGGCCTTTTCCTGCAAGCATCAGCTCAGTGATAAAGCAGCACCTGCTAGGCAGCATCACCCAAAAACTTACAGGACAGAACGTTGGCAACAGCAGGGGACCAGATTCTTGACACCAGGATTCCTTTTTGCCCTGTACCCCCCCCATCAAGCTACGTGTTTTCAAATCAGTTTCATGACATCAAGCACACGCAAAGATGCGTTTCCGTAGAAGTTCACCTTAGCCAGAGCTAAAACACACGCAGCAGAAGTTATGAATTCTGAAGATTAAAATTACCTACACACGAAGTTTAACCAATTTAAGACCATATCAACATTTAACATTTGCCACTTATCTGTACTACTATTAGAAGTCCCCCCTCTTCTGGCCGTACAGCTGTACCATTTTTACGTAACTACAACTTATTACAATTCCACAAATGAGAAGTCAGATGTACTAAAACATCTTATAAAAATTTAGCTGTATATCCGCCACCAGTTTGATACAGTAGTAAAACTACCTCACCAGGGTTATCGTGCTGCTAAAATCCTAAGAGAACACCATGCTTACACCAGCTTTGCCAACGGTTTGGAAGTTTACTTCCTTCACCCCCAAGCCCGTTTGTAAGCAAAGCCCACAGTCAGGCTCAGAGGCTCCCAGAATTACAGCGAATTTACAGCCTCCCAGCAACTTCCGCAAACATCCAGGCTCTTCCATAACAAACACACCTTAAGCCTGCACATACAGCTGTGAGTTAAAAGGAACATCTCCTGGGTCTTAGGGAGAAGGTCCCCACAAGAGGGAGTACAAAACAAAAGAGCTCAGCCCAAACCACGGCTGCCAACTGTTAGCAGAAAGGTAACGGGCAATACTTTGCTGCCGCCATACCTGTGATAGTTCCATGCACCTGCGTCCCATTCTTCAGTTCAATGGTCACAGTTTCATGGCTCAGCTTCATTAGAAACCTAGAAATTAAAAAAAAAAAAAAATTGTCCACTCCCACATAAAGCCTTACACGATTTCCTGATACAGAAAACCAATAGGCATCGAGTATCCAGACACATCTCCAGCTCCCAAAGACAGCGTTCCCACAGCTCACGGATTCCACTGAAGACGTTTAGCAAAGAATCACACGAGAGCAAGATACAAAAACCCGAACGGACCCCACGTCCCACCTAACCCCCGGGAGCTGGGTCGCCTGACTGACACTGCTGATCCCTGCTTCCGGGCCAAACGGTCACCATGGTACAAAGGACACGCTTTAAAGCTCGTTGACACCTCAGGAAGGCTAACTCTAACCAGATCTGGGTTTTTCCCGCCAAAACGGTGGTTTTACTGAGGAACCTACGCAGCTCGGGCTCCAGGAGCCCCCCAGCCCCTTGCCGCACAGCTGGGCCCGGACAAGGCCCAGGCAGCGGTACGGGAGCGCAGGGCCCCCCGCGCCACCGGCAG